GCCAAGAATCGGAAAGGTTTTTCCCCAATGGACAAGGGAGTATGCCGGCCGAAGGCCACCAATAGGGGGAATGATCGGACTGGATGCGGGGAAGGAGGCGAGTCTGACTCATTTCGAATGCATCCAACCTGGCAGTATTGGCCACAAAACGGTCCAGCTTCTCGGCCAACCTGCCATAGCGAGTGTCTCGTGTCCAGGTAAAATGGTGTCCGTCTGTCGCCACCTCTTGCAGGCTATGATTAAAAATACAGTTAGCAAAATCCTGACTGACGTTACAAAAAGCGGATGATCCACCCATCTTCTCCGAACGCCGGAGTAGGCAATTAAAATCCCCCCCAATGAGCCAGGGTTCTGAAGTTGCGGTCGCCAAATCTCCCAGAGTGGTCCACAAATGCTTTCGTATCTGCACGTTTGGGCTAGCATACACAAAAGTAGCCAGGCATGACACACCTCCTTTGGAGACCCACACATGGATCATCTGTCGAGAGTAACATAACACGTCAACTGACACCCCCTCCTTCCATACTAGACAGATACCACTTGAGAAGCCTCGGGCCTCAATCCGAAATGAGTAATCGAACTGACTAAAGCGAACAAACCGATCCGCCACCTCACCACTAATGCGTGGTTCAAAGAGTTCCATAACGTCTGGGTTGTATTGTCGAACAATGGTGGAGAAGGCTCCCCGAAAAGCAGCCGAGCCTTCCCCCTGGACGTTCCAAGTGATGATATTCATGGAAACGATACAGGAAAAAAGGGAAAACCCCATTAGTCCAAAGGGTGAACCGGTCCCACCCGGCTCCCTTCCATGCACATAGGATCTAGTGGCCTACCATCCGTCGGCTCATCTAACTGTTGCTCCTCCGGCCAAGGATCCTGGTGCCGCATATTATGCTCTTCCTCTACCATTAAAGAATCCTCGTCCGGTCCCTCTCGGTCTAAAGGCGGGGGGAAAACGGATTGGGATCCTTGGCAAGACTCATCTGGAAGCACGATCGCCCGGTGTTTAGCCGGATCGAGTCCAACACTGATTGGGGCTGTGGCGGATGGGCCTGACTGGGAGGTCTGGGAGGTGGAGCCCGTATGCCCAAACCTCTGAGTTCCAGAAATGGTCAGCCCACGCGACTGGTGGCAGGCCTTCTGCTTCCCTCGATCATCTTGTAACACCGGCTCGGACCTAATCCCCATGTTGCTCACGTTGCTCGCCGTAGCCTGGCCTGATGTGTTCTTATTATGTCGGGTCCCGTGCCTCGATACAACACGCCATTGCCTGTCCCCCGTATCGCCTGCGGTGCGAGCAGGTAGCGAGGCCGTCGCCGTAGTGGTCTCCGCCTCAGAAGCACCAAATTCAAAAACCTTTGCCGAGTTCCGTGGCTCTTCCTGCTCCAACAGTGTAAACCGGGAGCCCCGTCCCATGTTCGGGATGGAGGTTTTATCACTTTGAGGTTTATCAGTTCCACGGTCGCGTTTTGAATAAGATTTTCGCTGTCGCTGCGGGACTTGGATCCATGGTCCATACCGTTGTGGTTCTTCAGTACTGGATTTATGCACCGGATTCCCGTCGCCGTTATCCCCCGCAGCTGTGGCCGTAGCGCTCACGTAGGCGTATCTGTCTTGGAAGTAGTGGTATGATAAAGACAGGAGCTACCCGAGTGACCAATGCGCCCACAGTGAAAGCAGATGATTGGTAGGCTCTCATACACCACCCTCTGGAGTCGACCATTAATGGTAAATTCCACGCAAAGCCGTTTCAAAAGATCCACC